ATGGGGATGAGCACGGCCCCCTAGAGTCGAACACAACTGGACAAAAATTGTCAAGAGGAACCTTTACCTTTATAGCATTACAAGAATTAAAAGAATAAGACACGTTAACAAAGTGAGTTATGAGGTACCTAATGGGCAAAACCTCATTGTTTAGCATAGTAAATTGTAATAGTCTAAGCCCACTGAGTCAATAGGGATCTGGTAATTCAACTCCTTGATAAGTCCCACTGATTCAAATGGGCCTATACTAACTGCGACTTACTATGCTTAAGTAACCCCATTTGAATTAATGGAACTTACAAAGGAGTTGAGTCAACAAATCTCCACTGATTCAATAGGCCTACTCCAGTGTAATTCACTATGCCAAGAAACAGATTTTTGGCCAATGTACTGAAACCAATCTAGCAAACTAAAGAATACTATGAATTTTTCAGCAGTTTTCAATGGCCAATACTGTACTGCATTTCTTATATGCAGAGTGGAAGCACACTCAGGCAAGCACTCATCCCGATCTGGCAGGCTTCCCAACACATGATCAATTTGTGCAGCTATCTGACAACTAGTATGAAAACAAACATGAACCAGAAAGCTTGTGAGAGCAATGCTTACATGATAGCCTTTCCACTCTATATTTAAACAGGATGTTACTGCTTTGTGCAGTCAAATCTCAACTCACAAACTCTAATAAGGCTTTAAAGGTAAGTGAGATAGATATTCAAGGAGTGGTTTTACCAGTTCTATTTATTTATTTATTTATTTTATATCCCGCCTATCTAGACACTTAAGACCACTCTAGGCGGCTTACTCCCCAGTGAGTTTTGAACCCAGGCTTCTTGAGCACTAGTCTGTCACTTTACCCACTATATCAACTGCGTATGCAGACAATAGGATACTGGCCAATATAACTAAGGCTGTGACTACACCAGCAAGACAAATTGGAGCAATTTGGCTTTGCTGAAGTTTGATTTACAGCCTATCTTCCATTTCAATTCATTGTTAGTGATCACTCAGGGGCCATAGATTGATTTCAAGCCAGTGTCTACACACATATAGGGTGCAATCCGCACTTCCGTCCATAGCCTCCTTCATCTGTTCCCACATCTGCTGGCCCTTTTATAATTCACTGGCAAGCCAATTTTCAAAGGGTTGCACAGTGTTAGGGGAAATGTGGTAGCTTCATAATGTTCTTCATAATGGACACAGAAACACACTACAGAAACATATAGCCTTCTGTATTTTGTTGGGGGGTAGTGGTGGGTTTCTACTGTGCAGACATTTTTAAGTTCCTGTGCAGGGGTGATCTAGATCTAAACTAGTGTATCAGTGAAATGATCCTGCACTAGACTCATTTTTCAAAACAAAAACAAAAAAATTCAGGGATACTCAAGGAACCAATTCTGGGGTTTCTGCAATCCCTAAACATCATGCCCTGATGTTGGGTACCTACAACACTACCCACAGACACATACCCTATCTTTTTGCAGAAGGAAATAACAGATCACATGGGGGAAAATCCATTCATATCATTCCACCTTGAAAAAAGCAGAAGTCCCCAGCAGCAGAGGAAAAACTCTACATTGGGAGCAAAAAGGGCCAAAGTAATTCAAACTGGTCTTTCCACTGTGTGTTCAGTTAAAAAAATATGAATCTGTCTATTTTATAACTGAAACAAGTCCCATAGTATTTAACTGTATAGTGATAGCGTAACTTCTGATACGGCCCCTGGTTCGTTACATACAGCAGCCTATAAAAAGAGCCTCAGTGCACATGTATATCAGCATAAATTCCCCTGGTTGTACATGTTCTCAACTGCCAGATATTTATTCAACCTTCTAGTATTTCCAAGTGTATGAAACACACACACACAAACATATATATACATGCATCTCTGACTTCAAGAATATTTATATTTAATGCACTCATCTTTAATGTCAAAGCCATCTGAAGATGAATTATTAAAAGTATTCATAATCCCCAGAAGTATTCAATTATCTCTACTGAAACTGGTACATTTTATAAAGTAGGTAATTGCTTACATGAGAAAGTCCAATTACATCACAATCATATACATGTTTACTCTGAAGGAATGTTCACATGGTTTAATGGAATTCTCAAATACAATGAATACAATTATAGGCCTGCTCATTTTACAAAAGAAAACTCTAGGAAACTCTGTTAATGGTACATGTGGGACACCTCTAATTCTGATCTTACCTATCAAGCCATGTCAGACATAAGACCTAGTTTTATTTTAATATTTATCACAACTTTCAATACAGCATAGCCCTGCAAACCACTTTTTTATATAACACTAAGATTTAGGCCAAATGATCCCAAACCTCAGAAAAGGCTATAGTACTGACTATTTCATCTATGACATCAGCTATCATCTAAACCAGGTGTCCCCAACCTTTTTCACCTGCAGACCGGCTGGAGAAGGCGGGGCACCCCCTCGCTCATGCGCAAATGAGTGCACATGCATGCACAAACAGTGGCACAGCACTTGTGTGGGGCACACTTGCACTCATGCATAAAGAGCAGCACAGTGCTTATGCAGGCACACATGCTCATGCACATGCACAAACTGCAGTGCAGTGCTCGCACGGGTGCACTGTAGCACACTCGCATGTGCAAATCAGCTGTGTGGGGGTGACTGCATGCGGGGGGTGGGGCAGGAGGTCTGTCTCTGCTACCCGGTCCAGCTCAGGCCACAGACCGGCACCAGGCCACAGACTGGGGACCCCTGATATAAGCAATTCAATTAACTACAAATGAATTACGAAAGTGTAAAACAAATTTATCTTGGGCTCTAAGCAAGTTATTTCTCCTGTGCCATCCTTGATTATGTTTTTTCAGACCTCAGAAACATCTTTCTTTTCTATCTACATTCTATTACTAGTTGGGACTATTTGGCTTGGGGCTACAGACATATGGGAAGCATATCTAAATTCCCCTAGTGCCTAAAAGAAGGTCAAAGCATAATTGCATCATCCCTATCCAACCATCCACAAGAGCAGATAAGCCTGGCTCCAATTCTACAAATGTCTACCAACAATTTGTCACTTCATTCTGGCACTGTCAAACTGATCTCCTTTCTCAACTTTTTTCTTTTTCAGTGTCCTATCTTTCATAGGTAAACCTGAAAGCAGGCCCTGTGTCTTTTATTTTCTTATTTATGTAAGTGGTTTAACCTTTCTCTGACAAGCAGAATGAAGTATCCTAAATAAATCCTTATGGCTATGTTGTTTTAACCCCAGAAAAATTTGTTTGAGTGAGAAACAAGCAACCTTTCCCTGTTTTCAACACACTGTTCTCAGGCCATACTCTGAAAGCCTTACTCAACTGTTCCACTAATTCTCTTCAATTAAAGTTATTCGAGGAGTTTAGTCATCCAATTTTTAACCCTCTTAGCTAGAAAACTTACAAAAAGTCATTCCTATACAGTATTAACTACTGTGAAAAATTCGCCACACACATTAACATTATTGGCCTTTCTAGGGATGTATCACTACAGAAAAGAAACACATAACTTATAACAGCAACTACTTAGAACTCAAACAAGTTGCTCAATGTATCTACTTAAAGTACTTATAAAAAGATTCACAAAAAAGTATTCAGTGCAAATCACTGCCACTTAGAAAGTCCATTGATTCTACAAGCCCATGGGAAAATTTAAAGTTTTGGTTCTATATTGGTTTCATCCATTAGAGCCAATTTTCTGATAGAAAGTGATCATGTAATATATGCCAGTCCTTGCTGGCCCACCAGTTTTTTCTAGTTACAAAACTTTATTTTTCTGATATGCAACAGTTGCTTTCTCCCCCCCAAAAGCAACACACCACATCAAAATTGCTACTAACTTAAAGGGTAAAAATCACCATAGTCAAGTTGCTGCATTTCTCTTTAACAGTCTCTGCAAAATGACCTTCCAAAATTACTGTTTAAATTACATATACTATGAAGACACTGGATTGGAACACACTGGCATATTTTAAGGCAATTTACATTCCTGCAGATTCAACCTTAGACATGCAGGAATATACCTCGCTGCAAATATTCCAACTCAATAGGTTCACAATTGAGCTACTTCTCCCTACACCACAATTTATGCAAGAAAAATACCTTCCCGCTTTGCATTCAATTCTTTTGCTGTTTCTCCTGTTAGTATATTTATTAACTAACGCACATAGCAAGCTAGACAAACAGAGACAGACAGATTCCCATGAAAAATATTATTTACCTTCCTGAACACCAAAGCGGGAAGCAACTGGATGACGAATCTGCAGGGAAAGGGGAGGGCACGGTCTTCTAAAGTCCAAACCTGTTCCCAGGCACTACCTAGAATGTATCCAGGAACAAACTACTGTAATGTATGTCTCTACCAGGAACCTACAGGGAGAAAGCCACGAAACTGGTTTCGAGACGTCTCTTATGTCTGCGATGCTTGAGTTAAACACGCCGCGGGAGGTACAGTAGCTCTAGAGAGAAGGCGCCCAGTGAAACCCCGGAGCCACCCACCAAGCCAAGGGAACGGCCCTCATCTAAACCACGGTTAAGTCATACGTTTACCGACACCAGTCCTCCCTCATCCGCCCGGCCGCCCACAAAAGCCCGCAACACAACCGACGCGGACCCACACGCTCGCTCGCAAACAAGCGCCCCGCCGGTCCTCGTCTCGGCGTCGGGACTTGGCCACCCGCAGCAACCGACGCAGCCCGCCCTTGGGAGTCCCCCTACCCGCCGCCGGGCTGGGGGGACGCGGGGGCGGGGGCAGGCAAGGAAAGCGGCGGCAAAGGGTAGGGACGGCGCCCCTCTTCGCTTTCCGCCTCTGCCCGCCCGCCGGCCCGTCCCACAGACAAGAGAAGCGACGCCCGGCGCCGCTCTCCAGGCAGGCCGACGAAGAGACCCGAGACCGAAGAGAAGCTCCCGAAGGAGAGGCGCCCGGTCCTGGCGGGGGTGGCAGGGATGCCGGCCGCGCCAGGGCGGCCCTCCGCCCTCACCTTCTTCATGAGGCCCATCCGCTCGCGGGTGGCCAGAGACAGCGACCCGGAGCCCTTCTTTCCCTGGAGGGTCTTAGCCGGAGTTCCAAGCCGGAGAGCAGCAGCCAAGGCCTTGCTCTGGGCCGGACTCTGCCGAGGACCACTTCCGAGGCCAGGTGTGCAACTCCTTCCGGGGCAGGAAAAAGGGCGGGGGCGCGGGTCTCCTTCAGTTGGGGCTTTCGTTCGCCCTACCCAGCGGGAGAGGGAGAGAGGAGGAGGCAGGCACCCAGGGACGAGTCAGGCCCCAATTTCGAGGGCGCCACCTCCCGTCGTTGCCACGCAACGCCTCACGGGGTGGGGGGAGGATTTCGGCGCCGGCGGGCGGGCGGAGGGACGCGGCTGTGGGCGGAGGGAACAAAAAAACGACGGCGCCGGGAGGCGGGCGGAGCCCCGTGTGCCCTCTAGGTTTGCCCACGGGCTGAATTAGCTTCTGCTTTAGTGCGCGTCGCAATCAAGGGGAACCTGCGTTCGTTTTAGGGTTCATTCATTGCATTTCGCTGCAGTGAGGATAGCGAACGAAGAAGATTCCCCGGCACCTGGGAAGCTGGTTTCGTGTAACTCCCCGATTCAAATATGCACCTCCCTCCGGGGTGTCTCCGGTGAGGAAAAGGGTATCTCTCTCGCCGAAGTGGGTGGAATTTCCTTGCTCGGGGAACCGTGTGTGCAAGCACCGTGTGGCGTCTGCTTCGCTTTGAATCATCAGCACAAGGCTCTTTATTATGCTAAGAGGAGTGTGTTGTCTGGTGTAAGGTGTTCTGATCGTATCTCTTCAGGGTTAGTTCAGCTGTCTGCTCTGGTTGCCAATTTGCTTCCAGAGCCAATGCAAATTTTGGGCGTTAACCTTTTAAGGTCTTCAATCAAGGCTGAGTAAATCAGGTTTCGGGGCTGGGGGGTTACTTTCTTTTATTTTCCAACCAGAACTCCTGAGATTCACCAACTGGAGCCTGATGGAAAAAGCAAATATTTGGAATCAAAGAATTCTGAATTGGATGAAAATTTTAATCAATATCCAAGTGAACTGGTGAAAGTAGATCTCTGCTTTGTCTTCCCCGTAACAGTTCCCTACAGACACCCGTTCTTCACATGCTGCTTAGATGGGAAGAAGACCGTAATGGACTGGGTTGCAGAGTTCTGTGTGGCCACCGGTTACCAGATTTAATAATAATAATAATAATTTATTGTCATTGTAAGTATATACACAGTATACCCATACAACGAAAATCACAGACACCCAGAGACCAGATTTCCTGCGTTTTCTCCCTCCAGAATTACTCCCACCAGGTTCCAGAGCTGACCACTTTTACCGAAACATCTGTAATACTGCGGATGGGGAATACAGTGGTACCTCTACTTACGAACTTAATCCGTTCCGGAACGGTGGCCCTAAATTGAAACATTAGTAAGTAGAAACACCATTTCCCATAGGAATGCATTGAAAACCGATTAATCCGTTCCAGCCAAAGAAAACAAAATACAAAATAAAAATAATAAAAAAAAAAACACTGCAAGCCCCTGGGGCTGCAAAAAAACAAAACAAAAAAACAAACATAACCCACACCAGCCCAATCCCACCCTGCAAAAGCCACCCAAAACAGTTTTTAAAAGCAGCACCTTACCTCCACCGCTGCGGCCAGGAAGTCGCCTGGGCTCCAGCTGCCACTGCCGGGCTATGAGTTCTCAGCCGCCGCAGGCTTTCCTGGGTTGCATCAGCGGCGCGGAAACCCTGGCCCAGCAGAAGGTGGTGGCGGAAAAAGGCGCCACTTGGGGCAAACCCCAGGAAAGCCTCCTATGGCAATGAAGAAGCTGCGCAGCATGGGAGAAAGGCAGCACTTGCGGGAAAGCCTGCGGCGGTGGCGGCGCTGGAAGCCCGGGAGGCTGAGCCCAGCCGGCGCTGTAAGCCCGGGAGGCTGAGCCCAGCCGGGATGGTCCGGTGGCTCACCTCCCGGCAGCAGTACCAGCAGCGCTGGAAGCCCAGGAGGCTGAGCCTCCCTTTTCCTAACCGTTGGGGCGAAAGAGCTACAAAGAAGCAGCCTCTTCGCCACCAACGGTTTGAATTTCCCGCCTTTTTTCGCTACCTTTTATTTCCCGCCTTTTTTCGCTACCTTTTTTGTTCGTATCTTGAAGCTACCGGATCTTGCATAACTAGATACAGTACGTTTTCAGAGGCAATACAGGATTAACTAAGATACTTTGTAAAGGAAAGTTGGAAGCTTGGATCTTGCATAACTAGATACAGTATGTTTTCAGAGGCAATACAGGATTAAGTAAGATACTTTGTGAAGGAAAGTTGGAAGCTGTTGTACAATTGGGTCCAGAAACAGAAATGTAGGGGAATAAATGATTGTGGCACACCAGTGCTTACAAGAACCCTTTGATGATATTAGATTACCTAGATGATGGCGAAATCCCTGATCTATATATGTGGTATAGGTGTTTAGTTTTTGTTGTCTTTTGTTTTTGTTATGTCTTACTTTGTTGTTTAAGGTGTTTAGTTTTTGTTGTCTTTTGTTGTTTTTGTTATGTCTTACATTGTTGTTTTGTATGTGTGAGTAACAATAAAATAGTTTTTTAAAAAATTGGGCTTGCTCCCAAGCAAATGCAGATAGGAACAAAAGTCTAAGCTTCTAAGTCTGTGCACATCTAAATAAAAGCAATGCTCATGCATACAGCACGACTTCCTGCTGAATGCACATGCATTGGAGAGGGTTACGGGAATCTAAACTGTGGGGCTTGAGGCCACAATTAATTGATTTTAATTTGCCTATTTGCCTATTTCAAGGATATTATCAAATAAATACTGAAGTTATGGAAATGCCGTGCAATCTATTATGATACTTTCTGAATTATGTTTTACTGCAACATTTGGAAGCTTGTGTAACCAGAATGTTCCAAATACAGTCAAACTGATGCTCAATAAAAGACATCTTGTAAGATTTGTGTTTAAAATTCCCACATTATTTCCTCCTGCTCTTGCATCTCATTCACAAAGTGCATTATGAAGTGACTGGGAAATAATCAGATGTAACACTGTAATATATTGGGAGATGCATTTCAAGAAACACATCTGGTGAATACTTAAACCTGTTTCATAGAGAATTTATTGCACCTAAATCACTGAAGGTTAATGCCAATTCAAATAAGCATGTTCATTTACTGTCACTTACCAAAATTAAATATTCAGGAAATCATTAACTTCAAATAAATGTAAATATAGCTAGTTTTCCTACAAGACTAGCTGTCAAGACATCTTTGATTTACACAGACCCTTGTAGGATTTTCAAGCTATGTGAGATTTTATTTATTTATTTATTTATTTATTTATTTATTTATTTATTTATTTATTTATTTATTTATTTATTTATTTATTTATTTATTTATAGCCCACCCATCTAGTCATAT